TCAAAGAATTCCATCTGCAAGTCAATCCACAACTCGAAATTCGAAAATCATCTCAAAATGGCATCCAAAAGCAACCCCAACGTTCCTCAAAAGAAGCGCAAGATCGCAAACAGAGCAAAGACTCAACGCAAGAATGCCATCAACAAGATTACCAAAAATCCAAGAGGCACCAGAGCCAGTACTGTTCTGCACCCCACGAGTGGACCTTTAGCACCTTTATCCGGAAAGAAGGCTCGCAAGGTCCAAAAGGCGCAAAACTGTGCACGTCAAAGAGCATTGGAACAGGCAATGAAAGAGGGAGAGGTCAAGATGACTGGTTAGTACTTTGTAAACCTGTAATTGATACCGAGGTTCTGGTGCTAATTATGATTCTAGATGCGCCAGAGACTACATCAAATGCAGCCAACGAGGGAATGGATGTTGACAACATTGCATGAATGATGTAAAAACCGCATGGGATAATGGAGTAATGGCGATTGGAGTTACGGTCAAAATCTCGAGAGTTGCATGTCAAGACAAATATATCGGGGTTTTTTATCACAGGAGATGCGCAATACGGTCGTTATACCCCGAAGAGGGAACTTGCAGATATCATATGGACATAAAACGTTTGTCGAAGAAAGCAACAAGGGAGTGAGAACTTCAATGTATGAAGCAGAGTAAGATTTACGAACTATCTTGCTTTCCTGCATTTATTTACACTTCTTATGTTTTCGCATGCATATCTATCCTCCATCTGGCGACTATGGATATGCCCTCTTCGTTGCTGGAACTTGTCCGGGGAAGAAAGTAGTAGGGATCGTGGGGATAGGGATACTAGCCGTCAGCGCATATCCAGCAGCCAAATCATTCGGCATTTTTGCTGCAGAGTAGCCAGAAGGCGCTGATGATACCGTTTGTGTCACAATCGAGTCTATCATAGAGTTCATTAGCCATTGTAATGATAAAAAAAAAAGCATGGCAACTTACAAGCTGTATGCGCAGTGCCGTGAACCAAACATCCTCCATCACCCCAAGCATTTTGACATTTATACAACTCGTAACTACCCGTGTCTGTCCACATTGCAAAGTTTGTAATGCTCAAACCCGCGCAAGGTTGGCCTGTTGGACAAATGACTTGAATAGGTGCTCTCAAGGTACCATCTGCACAAGTTCCTTCCCAATTGGAGAAAGTGAGACCGGTATACAAAACACCGTCGCCAGTTGCTGGTGTTGATTTCCAATATGCGTCAATGTCGAGAGAATATGCATTACTATGGCCAATGAAATTTGAGAATACACTGTCGGATACCGATCCTGGAAGAATTTATTAGGAAGGACAATGATGATAAGAGCGAAGAAAACTTGCCTGATCCACCGTTACTCTTGATCATGAACATCTGATTAGATTGCCAGGAGTAGATGTTATTGTAAGTAATCTTCGAAATGGCAGTATCTGCCCCCAAGCTACCAATCGCACACCCACCGCTTACATTACAATGGATATTTTCAATTAGCATGTGGTTGGATGGGTTCTGAGTTCTGTTAGCATCATATACATGAATTGTGATATTCTAGATAAGATGGATTGCATAGTGGAAGCTTTCTAGAAAAAATTGCGCAGGTGATAGAGCATACCTTGACAGTGACACATTCGTCTTTGTTGGTAACTTCTACATCATGGATATGGACGTTGAAGCCCCAAACATCGATGCCATCCAATCCACCTTCGTTTCCACCACGGATGATTAGATTGTATACTTGACCATTTTGCACGGTGTCGAGAATGAGGTGGAATGCCGGAGCTAGTGGATCGATCAGTAGATATCGACAGTATAATGGACAGAGGCATTGGTAGATAACTAGAAGATATATTGCAGTTTACTGCGCGGGGCTGCATGGGAATAGATTCAAAACTTGAAACAATTTTGGTAGAGAAAGGTCATAGGGAACTTACAGTCGACAAGTGCAATGTCGTGAATAGAAAAGTTGACAACGTTTATCAGTCGAATGAGACGAGGCCTTCACTGAGGGTTAACAATATTCTCGAGACGACTTTTCATCATAGACTCTTACCCATAAATTCCCTGTGCATGGAATACATATCCATAACCTTGGATAGCGCCGCTTGATCTACTGCTGTATATTTCGAAGTCGGTAGAGTCTTCGACTATAGGTGGGAATTAGAAAATGCTAAAATTATGAGTGTTCAGGCGGTAAACTTACCAACGATCATATGTCCGCCTGCAGTACTGGATACAAATTCTTAGCAAACTAAAAATGGGTTTGAAGCACCAAGAGAGCTTACCCAGTTCTAAGAATGACACCCTCGAGATTTATGGCCCATGCATTACCACCAGATAGTGTAACCCATGTAGACATCGCATAGTTCCCAAGAGGGATGTTCACTAGATCGTTCTTAGTATCGTACACCAAAATCACGTAAGTCTACAAACATACCGACACCACCACTTGCGCAGGCATTGAATGCGGCAAGAAGAGCTGGTCCCAGATCTGTCTTTCCGTCGGCTACTGCGCCATACTTAGTCACATCACAGACTTTTTTTGCCCATTTCGCAGCTGAAGTAGTAAGGGGGCCAATCGGATAGCCAGAAGCTAGCTGGGCAGATACAAGAGATGGCAAGAACAACGACGCGGAAAGTAGAATGGTCTTCAGATTTAGACGCATTGTGATCTCGGAAGACTCGGAGTACTAGGTTTTAGTTTTGGGTATGAGCGGAGTGAAAGAGAGCATAGCACTTGATGGACAGAACATAAATTTGGGGATCATGGTTAGCACATATAAGTGCATGGCAATTCAGTTTCCCTTGACTGAGGGACCATCTAGCTTGTTGAATGATCCTTCGCCGAATTCTCACCCGCTCAACCGGGCACCTCGGTCTCTTCCTTGGCAATGTCAGGACTTAAAGAGTATTGTTGCGCTTATATATAAAATTGAGAGAAAAGGGAAAGGGTTCGAAAAATGCATGCACATGAAAGTGTGAATGCATTCGGCCTTCCAGAAACGGGTATCCTATTTACCGAACGGAGTAATGATGGGCATTGGGAAAGTTACTCGCGACGATCAAACAACGAATATAGCACATTGGGTAAAGTAATGAAATTCAGCAACGCGTGATGTAAGGTACGCTTGGCGATTCGTGGGATAAAGGCCAGCGAAACAACTTTATATTGCTGTACCACAGGGGTAATGGCATCTTGGCTACAACAGAAATCTAGGGTTCCATAATATGTATGATTACCCCAGAAATCTGCCGGATAATTGCGGAGATTTTTCCAGCGCCGGGAGATATTTTGGATGAAAATTAAGCTCATAGATCGTAACAGATATATGGATCAAGACTGAAAGTTGCCAAAAAAAAAAGAAAGAAAAAAGGAATACTCAAACATAGTAGGCTTTCGAAATTCCCGAAATACAAATGCTTTTTATCTGACATCTCCTATACTTCAGAAGACCAGAGCGAAGCACTCAAAACTTCAATTTGCATCATCTCTTGACACCCCATAGCCCTTAATCGTGGGCTGGTAGACAAATGGAAGAAAATGAGAAATCTGAAGGTAGGTACTTCCAAAAGGTACTCTTCATCCACCATGGTTGCCTCGAGGACTATCGTGTCTCCCGGCAGATTTTTCCCCGAAATCTCTCGATGATCTTACATCGGTATTCTGTTCGGGAATAGCTGTCGTATCGCATCACATTACGCCGACGAAGGACGTCCATTTCTCCATCCACCCCAACTCGTAAAGACTCTGATAGTAGTTATGAAATTGGCCTAAATTGCTGCATATCTTGGCATTTGCCAACCACAAGCGTTGGTGACAATGAAGTCATGGTCGATGCATCTATGTGCGCCTCAATGAAAGATTGCTAGCTCACAATCTGTACTGTACGCGCATGTGATCCACGAGATTACCAAAAGTCGGCTAAAAGCCTTGAAATTGGTTGATGAACTAGATGTAGGTAATCCTACAAATGATTGTTTGAGAATTGAGATGTTTGACGTAGGTTATCTCCTCCATGAAATCAAAAGTGGGGAACACGGGACTTCAAACCCTTCAGAACAACAATCAACGACTCTCGAGCGATTCACCAACGACTCATACCATTATGCACTGAGTTCTTACCTACTTTCGCCCCCAAAAATAAGTCAACGATAATTATAGTGATAACGCGATGCTACCCGATATCCAAGAATCAGACAGTATGAGTATCTCACGTGTGTCTACTGCGATATCGATCCTTGAAAATGCGAGTTTCTTCCTTAAAGATCCTGATGATAGAGTAGGATCTTTTCGCCGTTGCCATGGAATTACCATAGTCTCTTGTCGTGCATTTTTCATGGTGCCTCTTTTTTACGTGTGGCAGAAATAAAAGCTTCTTTACATTAATATTCAACTTTGCCTTTGTTTCTAGTTGCGTGTCATTCTTATCAATCCATTGCGCAAGTGTACATGGCAGTTATGATTTCTTATTTGGAGTATGGATTTGAGTAGGACAATTCTCAAGTCTTGCTGTGCCTCTCGCCTTTGTTTCAGCGTGAATTAAATCTATTCGAAGGATCGAATATACCACGATATTGACGTTTCTATTGGTCCCGGCATTGAACGACTTGTTTTAAGCCTCCTTGCGCAGTCGGTTTACTATTCATTCTTGTAATTACACCAAAAGTTTAATGAGTTGGATGGATACACCACTACGAGTATAATTATAGAAATATTGACTCGCAGTGGGTAATTATTTCGAAATTTGACTTGTCAAATTATCCACTTCTCGTTTGTACCTGTTGGAATGCTTGCGGCACTGTTTCCATGAGGAATCCGCAGTCCAGTGATTGATTCGGCGTTTTATCTCCTCTCCTCAATCCTGATGATTTATAAGTACATATTAAGCCCTCCGAATTTGACATCTTCGATCCTTTTCGCTGTTTGATTTCTTGGTTGATATAAAGGTGTCTCACCCACCAGCACCACCACTACATCAACTCTACTTTTGCATCAACATGTACCATCGAGAAGTAAAACGAATGTTGTGTTCCGTTGCTTTTGTGCTTTCTATCTCAACTATCATAAAGGCTCAAACGCTCATCGGTTGTGATTCTGTGAACTGCGTCACTCAGTATAATCCACCGACATGCCCAATCAATAATATCACACTCTCTGTGATCGGAATCACTTCATTTAATACTTCGGCCGATTCATCACCATTTACTTGGACATTGGGGATTCAAGAATCCGAGGAAACAGTCGAACCTTCTGTTCCTACTACGCATCTCAAGCATCGCCAGACTTCTTCGTCTCCTACAGGCCCTGTTGAGCCCACTGCCACTTACTCCTTCAACATAACATTGAGTCGAGATTTTTATCTTGGCACCCCTCCGACGGTTAATTTGACCTCAGAGTCAAACACCCATGCATGCGCACTATTTTTCGATGGAATAGCTTCAAACTTAACATTCGGAACTAGCGCTACGGGAACATGTAATGATGCTCTTACAGCATCTTGTGTTAATGACCTATTAGCTCAATCTCAATCTCAAATGGCCAAAATTTTGTCAAGCACCTCGAACACTCGGAACGAAACAGTTATTTGCAATACGCTACAGTCAGCCATTAAATCTCAAGCTCCGGCATCTTGTACTGCAGCTGGGGAGATGTTGTTGCACAAGGTATGCCAATTTCAATAGTGAGCGATATCTCAGCGAAAGCTTATGGCTAATATGACAATAATAGGGTTGAGCTCCCCAATTTCTCCACCAAGCACACCTAAATCCCCCGATTGTATCCCAACGACTGGAGAGAATTACGAGTTGTCTTTAATCCACAACACCACATCCTCGAGTATAGTGGATGTCGCTCACTTTGCGTTACTCTCGGACCTCGCAAGGGGCGAATTTTATGACGGCATTACCCCGATCCTCACAATTTTGTGGAACGTATCCAGTTCTAATGATACCTCATCTATTACTGCTAGTGCGGAATCACATTTGAGTTGTTTGAAAGTGGTAGAAAGTACGAATGGGGAGATTGGGGGGGACACTTCTTCACCTCCTAAATCTGAAGGCTCGATTATGGGTATAAACAGGCATTGGAGTTGGGGGCTAGTGACGGTGATTTGGGGATGGATTGTGTTTTGTTAGTGGTGAGGGTGTATATTTGTAGATTAGACATGCTGATAATTGCATCACATGGAGATTGAATGATTCCACTTCGTTTGCGCCTTCTGGGAGTAGGTCGCTGATCTGTATGTGAGAGCTTTTAATTGATGCTACTTTTTCACAACTCTCGTAATGTGAAAATTGATGCCAGACTTCCGTGTCGTTGCCAACGCCATATTCAAAGCCAAAGGTTGTCGCTCTTTGCAACAAAAGAATGAATCACTCACCTATCCGAATGATCCATTAGCTTTTGATTCATTCCTCAATTATTCATTCTTCAATTTTAGCGATTTTGATTTTGATTTCGAGAACCAAACTAAGATGCTCGCAGCCGCTTCTACAAAATGATATAAATGATTGATCAAGTAATCAAGATCTTCTCAATCAACACGAAGAAAACAGGAAGATGTTTCAATACTCAAAAAGCACCACCCAAGAGTTTGTCACAACCGCGATACACTTTACGCAGATGTCACCACTCCCCCAGCAATCACAGAAATCAATAGCCTCTAGTCCAAATATTTCGTCATCTGACTTCTTTCCAAGAATGATGGTAAGAGGCATGCACACTCGAGGTTAGTACTTATATATTTGTGGGGAATGACAATCAAAGGGTGTTGCGAGAGCTTGCTTTTGTCGATTTTTGAGATATTCAGAGGTAATCAGAAAATGTGGTTCGATTTGGGCTAATTCACGATGGGAATTGAAGACAGCGATGTATCTGTATCTACGCTGAAATTTACGAGTTATATAAATCTGAATACGAAGACGGTAGGAGATACGAATGGAAGTTTAGAGCTTGCTACCGCGAACAGGTTGAGTAGTGCAGCAGTGGCGGTTACCATAAGCGAGATTCTGTCAAAATCATTCGATCTAACTAAATGAATTGGAAAGCAATATTCAGCTTGAAAGTACAAATTGATGAACGTCATGCTTACACATGAATCAGTTCACGTTTTCGAAATCCTTCAAAAATATTCACTGTTCCAAAAGTGAGGATCCCATACCTAACCTCGACGTCGCTTAAAAAAGAATTGCCCCACAAAAATACAAAGTGATGCTCTAGCTACTTGACGAACCGAATCAAAAATACTCAAAATTGAATCTTCAAAAAAGAAAATAAACAAAGAATAAAACAGCAAAACTTCGAAGCGCTGTGAAGCGCCTCTAGGTCCCAATCAACTTCGTACTATAGAATGACTGTACCAAACTGTCCTCTATTTGGCCCGATTGAGAGGGCCCCGATTACTATGGCTTGGGTGGAGGCGTTACGTAGACCACTGTACCACGAGGATATGTTTGGTGAGGGAAGGATCAAAGTTCTGGAATATGTATTGATCAATCTCAGCTCAGCTAAGTTGGTATACTCAGATTCAAGAAACTACCTCATACAGTTTTTAATCGTGACGCATGTGCCACCTGAAAGGGGGTAAAATGATCAACTTCTTTCGCTGTGACAAGCAGTCCAATCCAATTATTCAACTTCGCTTCGTGCTTGGTAGAATTATGTCATTGATGCTTGCACTCGACACCCAGAACAATTGCAAGTTGTGGGAAGTAGCAACCGAGTTTCCACCTCAGAATCCTGGATGCATTCTTTTGTATTAGCACCGGACTTGAGTTAGGGAAAATATGGTAAAATGTTTTCCTGCAGCACCATGATTTGTTTTCACTTATTCTTACGTGAAATCAAGGGTATATGTGTATTCCTTTTCGATCGGAGGCGCATATATGAATCTTCCCGTTCCTCCCTAGCAATTTAGGCTCAGATAATGCAATTACTGCTTCAGCAAAAGAGGGAATAATTTACAATGATTGCATGTGCCAACTCGCATCAGTTTTGTTGCAGTGATATTAATAAACCTTTGCACAATCTTTCTATTAGATCCTACAAGACTGGCTCCGAAACGGAAATTATTGAGATGCTCAATTTAGCTGAGCCCCATAGAACTGACATGCTTGACTTACTGAAAAAGCGCTGGCTGGATAGAAGTAGTTTCTGAGCAAGATTGAATGCAATCATTGACAGAAGTTATGTGTATAGCCAACGGCTCCTTCATCGAAAGGCTTTTGTGTACATGTGAAAAGTCCCACGAGTAGCCCATCGACCACGTCAAATATACATAGAAGCTACATACGAACAGGGCGTCTTATGAGAATGTGCGATGGTTTGCTGGATGACTTCTTCAAATTTGCATGGTACTGTATCGCATAGTAGAATATGAAGGAGATAAACTTCCACGAAGAGCCAAATGATCCGTGTGAGAAGACTCTTTCTCAATTTTGGCTGATTGCCATCAATTGCAAGATGTTAAGATTTGGCTGTGAAAGTTGTATTTCCTGCCATATGAAGGCGGTGAAGGAGATGATTAGTCAACCAACAAGTACCAACAATCTCTCCTTGAAACACAGCTCGATTGGAAAGATCCCTTCATGGCCGGATGATTCATTCTATAAATACGAGAATGGGTATGTTTCGGTCTTGTGCCGCAGCCAAGCCACCAACTCTTGGCTATAAAACATATGAATACTCCGGCATCGATATGCAACCTTGAACTTCGTTGTTCATTCTCAAGATTACGCCAGTCAATATGATTACTACTACTAGTGCCATCAACCTAGTCGGTCTTCCCAATGATCTTGTCAAGTTGATAATTACTGAAGTATTGGAAACTGTCGGCCTATGGAAGGCTCTTGGTCTGCGAGTAGTGTGCAGTACGTGTTAACAACTCAACGATTTACGACATGTTTGTATTTACCTTTATATAGAAATTTTCGAGACGTTTATTACGAGGGCAATATGTGTCGATTACTTGAAGAATCCTCATGGTCCTGTTGATGACGCCCTGAAGATATGCCTCAACTATTCTCCCAGCAAACTACCCCGCATTGCGCCTCTTCTTATACATATAGAGATGAAACATGATCCTGAGAATGCTATTCTAGCACCTGCATATCAGGCAATACGCGCAGTGGCTGCACTCAAGAATTATACGGAAGAAGAGCAACTGCACCTTGAACTTACAGTATGTGAAGCAATGGAAGAACGGTTGTCCTGGACGTCTTCCAGGGGCCTAAGCGGCAGAAGGGAATTGTTTCTACGTGTTCCACGGCAGCCAGTCTCTCCAAGTGATAGCGTTTTAATAGACCATGACATACCTACAAATACAACTGCTCCTGAAATGATTCTCGGCCTACATAATAGACTGAGTGTGGCCATTATCGCCAACGACATCGAACTCACACAAGTCTTACTCAAAGACCACGACGCTGATGCCGAATTCAGAAACAAGTATTTTGGGAAACCATTGCACCTTGCAGCAAGATATGGAAGAACTACCATAATCCATATCCTTTTAAATTATGGTGCAGATTTGAATGCGATGCAGCCATACTATGGTCGTTACTGGCAATACTGGATGGACAAGCAACATTGGCCAGTTACCTTGGAAAAGGAAAAATACTTTTGCTCGTCCGGAAGTGCTTTGCGTGTGGCTGCAAGAAGTGGATGCATCGAAGCTGTGAGGATTCTCGTTCAACCACGTTTCAATGCCGTTCTGCCACTTCATGGAGATGAAATCAGGCAAATCCTTCTTGCCGCAGCGAGGACTGGATCTGTCGATCTGATTTTATATCTTCTGGAACAGTTCTATAATTCACATCCTCTAAGGAAAAGAATTCAAGAAGAAATTCTTCTTCAAGCATCGTACTCAGGTAGAGAGGAACTGGTCAAGTTCATGCTTGATCGTGGTGTGAACATTAATTGCAATGCTGCATATGAATATAGCGTCATGCCGAATTGGGCACCGATCCATTGTGCAGCTTACAAAGGTCGTTCTAAGATTGTGTCCTTGTTGCTTTCACATGGCGCAGACCGGGATGCTTGGTGTAACCGAACCTCGAAACCCGCCTATAATGTCGGGTTTGACGCGATGAGTTTTGCAGTTCTACGAGGTCACCAAGACGTAGTTCGCGTTCTTATCAAAAATGGTGCTGCATTCCAAGAAAAAATCAATATTCATGCTTCGCGAGAATCTGTACCACTATTGACCTTAGCTGCATGGAGTAGTCACCATCATATGATGCGTTTCATGCTTGAAGAGGGACGAGCTATTGGTGAGAGTGGTGAGATGGCTCTTTACTACGCGGTTGTTCATGGTGATTTCCTAATGACACGCCTTCTTCTCGAGGCTGGGGCCTCTCCTTCCGGAAGTGTTCATGGCAATAATAACCCAGTTCGTACCGCGATGCAGAAAGGATGGGCCGATATTTTGCAACTGTTGCTATCTGCGGGTGCTGAAACGATAGAAGCATCTGTCGATGGATCACATTTTGGACAACAAGCCAAAACTCCGCGGCAGCTATGGCACGTTTGTGGTAGATATTGATTCGATCGAGCAAATCCTTTTAGTTCACTCAAACCTCACCAAGAGCAAAATCGCTTTTTCAAATAAAGTCTTTGCTTCAAGCTCAAGAATATCTAAAATCCGACAACTAAAACGCCCCAACATCCAACATCATCAGCACAAGCTACCAAACAAAAACTAAGAGCGATCCTATCAACTACTCTGTGCTAATTTTGCCTCTCAAAACAGACCGAGATTCCAGCTATGCCTGAATAACACTTAAAACTAGGTCATATAGGCATATCTTTTTGAGGAATGGAAAGTTAGTTTCCCACAATCAAGACCATATGCCACCAACCTAAGCCATCATGGACTTCTATCTCATCTTCATCACCCTCGAACTGATAAGTCAAGATTCGAGTAACCTTTTTATCTCCCAATGAATTGTGAAAATCTGTTAGCATATACCCCGTAGGTCTCCCGTTATCTGAGCCAACAATGCAAGAAATGCTTGTTGTCTTGCATCATCTTTTGGATCCATAGCCCAATCTCCGGTATCTTTCTTGAAATCAAGACCCTTGCTTGTATAAGCATCTTTGATCATTTTTCTAGTTCCAACATTCTTCACATTCTGCTGAATAACCATCTTCAAGCCTCCAGTCTTACCACTAGGTCCGGCAATTTGTGCCCATGTCTGATATGTTATACTAGACGATTGGAGTCTTTCAGGGTCGCTCGAGGCCAAGTTGTCATTTGCAGCTTCTACATCATCAACCACAATGATACCTTCGTCAGCGTTATAACCTCCGTGATTAACATTTCTATATCCTTGACCTGCTTTCAACTCCACACTATCCCAATCTATATTAACGATTGCGTCAGAATTTCGATATAGTTAGATGGCTTATTCAATCTACTCACTCAAGACAGTAAAAGATGGTTCACCGGAGAGTCCAAGTTCAGGCTCTTTGAATGTATCGGCGAGTTTCGAATACGCCCAATCCTTGAGTGTTGCCGTTTCACCTGGTATCGGGTTGGGAATGTCTATGTCGACAGGGTTTACCAGTGCATACCCGTCGTAAACATTTGCAATCGATCCGTCTCCTGCAGTAATTTGAAACCCACAATTAGCATTTGAATCTTCAAAATTTAGTATCAAGGGAAGTCATAACAGGTTATCAACAGTCCAGATCTTGGTGTACACAACCATAAGTTTCTCAACAGCAACTTCTGATCGGACGTATCAAATGAATTGAACTTTAGTTAGACTAGACAGGTCAAACAATTCAATGCTCCGGTCCCGTTCAAAATTAAGAGGTATTCACTTTCTGAGGGTATCTTGCACCGTTGGAAGTCTCGGATCAGCTACTTACCAGGTGATGGGTCAGTTCCCCTAGGTCTCACGACCTTGTCTGCCACTTTTTTGCTTATAGCAACATCCAAATTGTTTTGAACTGTCCTACCGCGCGCTATGTATTTCGCTCCATCCAATACTTGAGGTGCATTCTCACCGGACTTTGAATCTCCCGAGTTGACCAAGGTAGGATCTTTAGTAGCAGGCTCTTTTACGGGAGTTTCTGATTGTGTAAGCTCTTGCTGAGTTTGCTGAGTTGTAGTTTCTGAGTTGGATGTATCAGAAGACTCCGTAATTTCCTGTTGGGGTGGTGGATCAGATTCTGTTTCGGTATTTGATCCTGTGGTTTCTTCCGTCTCTGGTACAATCTCCACAGGTGGCTTAGGCTTGAAAACCTCGATTCTGGGAATGAGATTTCTGGTAAAGTGTACATGATTGATTGAAGCTGTCTAGTAGTCAGCATCAAAAAACACTACGAACACTGAATGTAGACTATTTTCCGATCAAAATTTGGGAAGCTTTCGAGCCTTTTATTAACTGAAATATTTGTTGACATAAAAGTTCAATGGAAAATACCGGGAAGAACCAAGCGCTCTTCATTAACAAAATACAGTATAAATGGAAAATCCGAAGCTTTTACCCAGTTCCTGGGGGATGACTTACTAGTACAATCTTTGGAGATACATTCGGGCGCCAGTGATGGTAAACCTCGTTGTTGGTGAAGCAGGGCTCGACCATTGATTCCCTGGAGCCCAAGAGCTACCAGGACCGCGGCAAGCCAAATGATAGAGTATCGCATGTTGAGTCTATCTACGGCGTCGGGGCTTGAGAAGAGAAAATAGACGGGTGTGGCAGTTAGGTAAATATTGGTGGTAACCAGGAAAATATATGATTGTTGAAAAATAGTAATGATTGGGAACTTGATGATTGAAATAGGATATTGTTGTGTTTGCAGATTTTACAACTCGGCTCGACACGGTCATTATATAGCAGTCGAAGAGCCCTATCTCCATGAACTTGCCAAATCTCAAAGCTTTCACCTCACGGAATTGATACATACACACGGTTTCAAAGCCAACAACATGTTGCAGCTGGACTTCATGACTAAAAAATATCTTTCGAAGGATCGTGAACTCCTTAAGGATTTCGCAGGAGATGCACACATGTTGGTGTCTACGTTGGTTATATATTTCTAGTCTGAAATTTTAAGGGTAGTAAGATTAAAAGATGGTGATAATAGTAGATTTCACAAAGAAGGGCACTAATGTGAGAGCAATCTTCGGAATTGCGGGAAGTATGGCACGACAAAGAAGACAATTAGTTTCTTGATTTGTCGAAACGAGCTTGAGAATTTCTGAGTTTAACTTCGCCTGTCTTGATTCGTAAGAGTTCCCCAAAAGCAAAATTTGCCACTGCAATGAGGATTCTGGGTGTGGTATCCAAAAAAATCGAGATTGCAAACGAAGTTTGCAAACACGAGAAGGGACACATGTCAACATAGCTACAAATCAGGAAAACTGCAAGTGAGTATTAACATGCCACCCAGTGTTGCAGGATTGATAACTTCGAATTTGGTGATATCTTTACTGCGGTCGTCTTTTTGTTGCAAACAAATAGTTAGTTGGTACGTACGGAAAGTGTAGTCGTACCCCTGAATTTATCGCTTAATTGTTGCCGTGCATTTAGGATCGAAGTATCAGTAATCTTATGGATGGATTGGCTGCTTTAGATCTCTATGCACTAGAATCAATCATACTTAGTTGCTGCAATCATCGAAAGCCAACGCCAAGGCTAACGGGAAACGTTTCATCACTTCAGGCACAGTACCCAACGCCAAGATAACACAGTGGCACAGGACGACTATATGCTTCAAATTTGTGCCTGGTCATCATTCATTGGCTTATATACTAACATCCACTGCTTAGAATTATGGTTAATACCACCTGATGTGTCATATTGGCATGTTGTTGTACGTTTTGGAGTTGTACCTTCGTTCCTCTTTTGCACATGTTGGAGTCTACTCGGTATGTTGGTACCAACTTGAATCCTTCAGAGAATCGGTTTCATTTCCTTTAACCCTACTTCCCTCGGCCCGTAACCACCATCATAAGACTCATTGGGAAGAATTGTTTCATCTACGACTACGGAATCTCATGATGCCACATTTCTCTTACCTCAAAAATGCAACTTGTTTGACTGTGCTTCACTTCTCAAGTAGGATTCAAAGTATGATCCTCTGTGCTAGATTTGAAACTCGTATACGCGGTCCAATCTCTGACTTCCAAACATGGTTTCACCAATTACTACCATTGTTAGCTCAATGTGAGAGTGAGAACCAGCTTTATAAAATGAACGTGGCAGCAACATAAATTGAGAACTATATAAGGTATTGAAAATTCCTCTAGACTTCTATACATCTATCTACAACAAGTCTGTGGGACTCAACTAAAGACACTGTCAAATCTCTTCTTGAATCTCAATTCATCACAGTAAATTGGATTCTTTCCCCTCACAAGTTATCAAATAGTCTACCGAAAATCATGGCTAATGCTATTGGGTTCGCCATTGGGGGGCTTACCATGCTCCCTCTCCTCGATGAAGCATTTCCAAATAGAATCGCCAAGACCACAGTGGTCCGCATTGGTGTAGGGACATCCACATCAGAAAAAACACAAGACAAAGACAGTCTATCGGGCAATATTCCTGGGATTCGATTATTTGATGTTGCAGGCCGATTGATATCGGATATAGAAGGTAGCAGCAAGAACAAGATTGCGGACGGCAGTTGGGAAGATATCAAGCTTCCAGCCAGTGACAATTTAGGAGGTAGACAAGCTCAGTATATCTCCGTTATATCTGGAGGTACTGATGCTATTTGTATCTCTTATGTTACTGTTACTTGGCCAGATGGTCTGAAGGAATCCTGGATGGGTGACTGGGGACACTTTTGTGGCGGACCATGGTATCCGGCTCAGACAATCTCCAATATTCAAGATGACTATACGCCAAAATGCACATGGATTGACAGTGATGGTAGTAATGGAATTGGCATCAAGGGATTAGGAATTCACATCACAGACTTCACACCAACAACTCAACGTCTTGCTGCATACCAAAACGACACTTTCCTCGTATGTGATAGCAAGCCCCGCTTTTGGATGTACAATGATATCGACATGGATACATGTTTACCATATTTCGACCCCATTCTCAAATTCAAACAAAAGACTCTTCTTGATGTCGATAGGGCATTGGTCGTGGGTGTTGAGGGTAGCAAACTAGATTGCAACCCCCTACCACCGGTTCCTTCTCCAGTACTCGGGGAACGAAGAAGCGAAAACAGCCCCTGTTCATCATGGAAGCCCAATCATCTGCCACGTAGCCAGGGACGAATGACAAATAGTTCAATGGCAACCAACAGCACTTTTACTGGTCCTCGTTCGAACTCGTTTGTAGGAAGATTAATCATGAGCAACCATACTAGCCACAGTGCCAACGAGCTTTGCGCTAGTGATACTTCTGTTGGTCCAGACTTCGTTTCCTACCAGGAAAGGGTATACTGTGACATGGAGAACAAGCAAGCTTATCCACTTTGTCTCTCTGATCACAGCAATTCTACAACTGTCGAAGTTTGCTTTGATATCGAGATTAGGATCTTGGTGGATCGCAAGCCTATTGATGCTCGAGAGAAGTCTCTTCCCAACAAAGAGTATCATACCGTCGAGGATTGGTAGGCGAGTATCAGCCTTGCATAAGAAACTTCTAGGGAAATTTATGGTTGGACCTAGGTTACTGTTTCTCTTTTGATTCTACGCCCGTGGTGTTTTTTTTATGTATCTATGCAGCAAGCAACGGGAACAAACGACGGAAAGATTTGTATTCTAGACGGAAATGAGAAGAATAAAAGCCCAGAAGATACCTAGGTGATCCAATTCTAATTCCAGCAATGATCGAGAGTACAATGTTATGTGAGCCTTCAGTCGGAAGAGAGATGGAAATCTTATATAGGGGGCCGGGTATGATATAAACGGTTAAGTATTTTCGGTGGAGCAAAACTCTCCATACAAAGCCCTTTTTCCTCTCCGCAACGCAACAATCCTCAACCAATTACCCCATTTCCCAACAAACCACCTACCAATCTTCCATCCCAAACCCCAAATCCTATAATCAATCTAATAAGAACAAAACCCAAACAATCAGCCCAAAACCCTATAGTTTCAAATAATTCTACTCCTAAGACCGTGCTGATCGATATCATATTTTTCCGAGTAATATTTTAACCGAAGCCCCTTTTACATCCACACTTTTGAAATCCACTTTTTTAAGGTTTCCCCCTCGCCCCCCAAAAGATAGGAATACTGAGAATGAAATTGAATGAGTTTTATAATTACTCTATAGTCTTTATAAATCCTTCGCATTGGATGGTTAATCAACCATGATAAATTGTATTGTTTTAACAGTATTGAATTATCTTTCCGAAGCCCTATAAAGTCAAAACAAAAAAAAAACATCGCTTTCGATAATTAGGCACAGTAATACCCGCAAAACCCCAAATAAAATCAACTGCCCTATCAAAATGAACAAACCCCCAGGAGAAAATACCAATTGATTCCTCACACCCCCAAAAAGAGAAACGCTACAACTCACCTATACTAAACTACACTACACCGCCCTAATCCAGATACCCAGCCGAGCCTAATCCCTACCAGAAACTCCCAAGTTCCAAGTTCCAAGGTCTAAAAAATCTTGCATATATTTCTATGTATTGTACTTCCCAAGTATCCAATATCTAATACCTACACTCTAATTCCTCTCCTTCTCTCATTTTCCAAATTCCAACTCTCACAAAAAACTACCCTATCAATCAAAGACCTCTGAACCCCCCAACCCCCATTCTAACTCCTACTCCCACTCCCTCCATCCCCAAACCCAAACCCAAACCCAACTCAACTCTACTCTATTACTAAAGCCAAATTCAAACCCAAATTCAAACCCAAATCCAAGACCAAAGAAGAATACTGATACCTTCCGATACCCCATTCTCAACTAGATACTCTACAAACATCTAATAACTATACTCCAGATCATCACATCCCTTATTCCCATCAAAATCTACATCCTCATTCGTTATGTGGTATATCCCAAGAAGTAACTACATGCCGCAAACCGTGATGGGATCATAATATCAAGTATGCATATCTTTTAGCCCACACCCTCCCTAAAACCTATCCACTATTGTTATAAATCATGTAGAAAGAGATAGCCTGTGTGTCTTTGACAGAGAAGTAGTTTTGCATGAGCAAAAGATGACAATACTACATTGAATCATACTTCCTTTTTACGTCGATGTCAAACATTGGATGCAAATTCAGAGCAATTTGAGACGAAGCCACTCCTATATACTTACTTACTTAATCTCTTCCCTTGTCTTTGATAGCAGATCAATGCATTCAAATCACATATCTCAAAGCAAAGATTGAATAAATGTTTGATATGCAATTGAGTAGAAAGCTATACGTAACGCCATGTGTATACATATCCATGCCAACGCCTATGCTAATAAAGCTTTGTTCCTGGAAAAGGCTCAAATTTCGAGATGCCATTCCCCATCCATACCTTTGCCATTTCTTGATTGTACTCGTAATATAGCTATTCTATATACCCTTACGGAAAGCTATTCAGCTTGAAATTCTTTCCTTGAATCTCGGTCGTACGTTTAAATCGCGAAAGTATTATGCTTCATTTGATCGATCAATTGTGCGCCATTCATATTCCTTTTGATTGTCCATTCATTCATTCATTCATTCATTCATCCAACCACCATTCATTGTATGTCGAAGATCATTCATGAGTCATGGTTCTCCAAGAAGTCTTGCTGTGATATCACCCATATAAGCCTCCTCTAATTCGTAGTCCTCCCCGCCATGGCGGTCGATGTGAACGAAGTTGAATGCATCGACTACCTTTTCAATATCAAACCCCATGGAAACGAAGCGATCGACCAGCGCCTTGTTGTATCCTTGATATCTATTGTAGATACTTGTTAGTCTGCCATCTACTGTAAACGTTCCAGGGGAAAACAATTAAAGGAAAACTGGCATACTTCAACATCTCCTGTCGCGCCTTCTCTTCTTGTGATTGATGTTTGACCGGTGGAAGATATGAAGGGCTTGAGGCAGCAGCCTGAGACCATTTTGTGACCCTTGGGGCACCAGCATAATGAATTGCCCAGTCGCGTGCTTTCTCTCGAAATTCCTTAGGGTGGTTGATTAACATAGTGGCTACCTCGGCGTCTTGTGGATCCTTTGGCTCAGGTTCGCTGAGGAGAGATTGAAGGGAAAGAAGGGCGGACTTGATGGTTAAAACCGGAGACCAGGCCGAGGACAAGGTATCAAGACAGATGGCACCCTGTTCAAACGTCAACATTTAATTCCGTTCCCCGCAGGATTAAAACTTACAGTTTGACTGCTGACATTTGGATGCCAAACTTTGGTCGCGAAATTCATATGTGGGGGTTTGAATGGATATTCATTGGGAATCTTAATATCAACTAGGTATGTGCCTCCTTCGTAAGGTGTGTCTGGTGGACCTGGAAAAGAACCTCGAAGGCTGGTCAGATCGCTATCATTACCATCTCTTGCCTGGCAAAATATTTGAGCGCCAGGATCGTTCGCGATATCGTTCAGCTCTTTGGAAATACGACGCATTCTATTGGAAGACATTTTTGTGCGGTAAAGTGGGTGTTATTAATGTTGATGTTGATGGAGATTCGAGGTTTTATGCTCGAGTTTCGAGGTCTAGATTGACGCTTATGATCGGGTTCGAGGATGATGTCTTATTGGACTCGACGATTTCGCGATTGCTCTGTGTAGGTAATTTCAAGATTTCTTTGACTACCTAAGTGGTGAATGTTATCGAGAATGATATGGTGATTTCCCTATTACTCTCAAACTATTTCAAGTCAGATTAAGAAGATCGTTTGAGGGTCGTAGGGGATAGAATACGCCGAGTAATGAGGACTAAGAAAGAGTGACATTCAAGACAAGGCACTTACCAATAAAGCCTTTTGAAAGTAGTGGTGTATTTATGTAACCCAAGAAAGTTACAATACTCGCACTTTATGGATGCTCGAGGATCTAAATTTGGCGGGGTTGTTGATAAGTGGGTAGCCGTCCCACTTTCTACCTGGCAGTCAATTGAATGTTTACTCCGTATCGTACCATGCGGGAAATGGGAGACGGGAGACAGGAGACGGGAGACAGGAGACGGGAGACAGAATCAAAAGCTGGTGAGACTGGAGACTGGAGTGAAGAGACTGATATTTCAAAGAAATGTCATGAATAGGTTCAAATGTGATGAGCCCTTATCCGCTGTCCACCTTTATGCCCAAAGGTTACCCAACGTATGCTGTGTAAATGGAATATATGTTTATTGATTGTGCGTGTTTCTGTCAATGGAAAGAATGATATATTTGGTACGATGGAGTTGTTGTGTATGGAGCACGGAGGGAATTGTGGTTGCAAGCAGCGCAGTAATGACATCCGAGCAAGCCAATAAATACATCCCATCCCATCCCGACTCTCCGGCATCACTCGACTTCACTGCTGTTGCCAAAAATAAACAATAAAGTTGATGCCTGATACTTTGAGTGCATGCGATAAGGCGAGAAGGCTTGAGTAAGGTTACATAATCTTAAGGCATCAATAACTTATCAAATCGCCCGGGTGGTCCAAGCCAAGCTAGCTTCTTATTCATTCGCGTCGTCCTTGTCGCCTTGTTGCATCGTTGTGGAAGGCTAAAAGAGCATCCAAGCTGTTGCTACCTACCTATTACAAACAAAATATACCACCTTTCTCAACTTCAACCACCACAACTGCATCCGAATATCTCTCATCAAGAATCTGGATCATACGAAATCCTATACCATCCTACTGAAAGCTTCTTGATTTACCAAGAACAAGATGGTAAGCTTCCAACCCATGATTTGTATGAGCGGCCATATTAACGTAATCTCAAAGGGTCAACAACCATCCGGCCTTGGTGGTAACCAACCAGGTGGAGATGGAAAAGATGACAAGTCTAAGAAGGTACACATACACATTCGTAATAATGGTAGACAATGGACGATGGACTGATTGCCCAACAATAGAAGGATAAGCCAAAGTACGAACCACCACCAAGACCAACAACTAGAATCGGTCGCAAGAAGCGTAAGGCTGCCGGTCCAAATGCCTCAGCAAAGTTACCAGCTGTCTATCCGACGTCTCGATGCAAACTCCGATATCTTCGAATGCAACGAATTCACGATCATTTGCTCCTCGAAGAAGAATATGTTGAGAATCAGGAACGTTTGAGAAAGGCCAAGGCTGTAAAGGAAGGAACAGCAGCACCCGCCAACGCTGGTGGTGATGCAGATGCCGTTGACAGAAATGCCGATGAAAGAGGTCGTGTTGATGATATGCGTGGTAGTCCAATGGGTGTTGGAACTTTGGAGGAAATGATTGATGATGATCATGCTATCGTTTCAAGTACCACTGGACCGGAATACTACGTCTCCATCATGTCTTTTGTTGACAAAGATCTCTTGGAGCCAGGTGCAAGTGTATTGCTGCATCATAAATCCGTTTCGATTGTTGGTGTTCTTACTGATGATACGGATCCTTTGGTTTCAGTGATGAAGCTCGACAAAGCTCCAACGGAGTCTTACGCAGATATTGGTGGTCTCGAGTCGCAGATTCAAGAAGTGCGAGAATCCGTCGAATTACCTTTGTTACACCCCGAATTATATGAGGAGATGGGTATCAAGCCTCCCAAGGGTGTTATTCTCTATGGTGCGCCAGGTACCGGAAAGACTTTATTGGCAAAGGCGGTTGCAAATCAGACGAGTGCAACATTCTTGCGAATTGTTGGTAGTGAGTTGATTCAGAAGTACTTGGGTGATGGACCTAGACTTGTTCGACAACTTTTCCAGGTATGCATATTTTCAATGATCACTTTGCGTAAGACGAATATTAATCTTTATAGGTTGCCGCCGAAAATGCACCATCCATCGTCTTCATTGATGAAATCGACGCGATCGGTACTAAACGTTACGAATCCACATCCGGTGGAGAACGTGAAATTCAAAGAACTATGTTGGAGCTTCTTAATCAACTTGATGGTTTCGACGATCGTGGAGATGTTAAGGTTATCATGGCTACAAATAAGATTGATACTCTCGACCCTGCTCTCATTCGTCCGGGACGTATTGATCGAAAAATTCTCTTCGAGAATCCTGATCAACATACTAAACGCAAGATCTTCACTCTTCACACATCTAAGATGTCGTTGAACGAAGATGTCGATTTGGAAGAATTCATTAACCAAAAGGATGATCTTTCCGGTGCTGATATCAAGGCGATCTGTTCCGAGGCTGGTTTGATGGCATTGAGAGAGCGTAGAATGCGTGTCCAAATGGCTGATTTCAGAGCTGCAAGAGAACGTGTCTTGAAGACAAAGAGTGAGGGCGAGCCTGAAGGTTTGTACTTGTAGAGGAGAGATGGTTGATGAGATGAGGGGAATGTACGATGAGCTAGAGCGTATGCTTCTTTTCGTAGCTCGTGTATTCTAGATATCCCATGGTTAATGAATGCATTCAATTGCTCGACAAGAATTTGCTTTTTGATTTGTTCTGTTGTGCAATGTAGGGGTCTGTGCATGTCTATTGAATTATTATCAGAGATATCATGATGCTATTTTGTTTTTTTCCTTTTTCCATGCTGATCACCTGAGCATGTACAAACCTCACCACCTCCCAGCCAAGTGGCCAAAACACTTATTAACATTCCAACCTTTCTGCTCGCTAAACAAACATCTCCGCAGACATCGAGGTAGATTCATAATTCAAAAGGAGAATGTCATCTTCTCCGAATAGTACAAATATTAGTGCAGCATTTCGTAACATCTTTTGGATACTTGAAGAGTTCTCATCTTGTCTTAGTAATGTTATATAGATATCTAGGTCGATTCATAATTCTGTGTTCAAAGAAAGTGTCAGTTCAGGCTGTGTCATTTGTCACATGATTATGAAAGGTTTACAGAGAATGATTAAGAGTGTCCTGAAGCTAGATGTCCTAGACTGGTATGAAGCAGATCTTTTCTTCCATCGTACATCCCCCTTAAGCAGCAGTTAGATCACCTAAAGATCGACACACCTATTCGCTTCCAGTATTTTACATTAGCTAAGGATCAGCCTCGATATTAAACAATAATTAACACCGCTTTCGATGCGCCATCTATTATATCAATTCGAAGTTGTGTAGCCAATATCCAAAACTGGCTCTCTACGTGATTCTCAGCATCGAGCATATTCAACCCTTATAATATCAGCTTCGTTCATACCTTTTCGAATTCTGGATCTTGACGCTCCTGTATTTCCGTCCATTGTTTTGATGGATACCAGAGACTAGATCTTTGATCGAACTACGACCAAGCCTAAACACGACACTCTCAGCCATTGCTGGGGATTGGTTCATGTGATCACTGCAAGAAAAGAAACAGCAATAACCCATAGAGAGAAAATTGAACGAGGCGACCTTCCAAAGACTTTTCAAGATGCAATTGAAATATTCAGGGCACGGGGTGTCCGTCATATATGGATAGATAGCCTTTGCATTGTGCAAAACGACTCTGATGACCGGGAGAAAGAAGCCGTGCTCATGGCCAATATCTACACCAACAGCTATTTAAATATTGCCGCAACAGCAGCTAAGGATAGTACAGCGGGTTGTTTCAACGATCGTGAAATCAAATATTTCTTCGGTGGTGTCTCCATAAGCTCCTTTCAGATACCTCATGACGGTCATGGTGTTTCAAAGGTCTTCGTTGGGCCATCTTTCGAGCCGACGCATCACCGGTTCACTACCAGTGGGAAACGACGATACAACCACCCGGCTGCCTCTGCCAACGATGCGCTTCCACTTTTGACTAGAGCCTGGGTTTATCAAGAGCGAATGCTTGCTTCGCGTACACTACATTTGCAACCGGCCAGATTTGAAGTGCGATAGATACCCGTCAACGATTTGGCCTTTTCGATTTATCTAGATATTGTTATCTATCGGAGAGGAACGGCGTATTCGATCTGGAATGACTAAAACATCACTCTACTCAATTGGAAACTCTATATGGAAACATCATTCACGATCATCAATCATCAATCATCATCACCATCATCATAAATGCTGACATCAGTGCAGTGTTTACGCTATCTTAAAATGGTGTAAAGCCCGATACGTCAATGCATTTATTCATGGCTATCATCATCCTCAAATTCTAGGTAGCAAACTCGATTCTGAAGGCATCAATGCCGAATATGGAGAACATGAGAATTGGCAATTTAAAGATTGGATACGAGTTAATTCCAAAACTGGGGAAAGGTGGTTCAAAATTATGCCGCTTACTGCTCGGATCACGCTAAGACAATAATTGTGGAAAGAGCGGGTTAAAATCACGTGGATGCCTGGAGTTGCCTAAAATCACGAGACGAGGGGTCACTTTCGTGTGTCAACACGAGTTTCTTACCTTTTTTACTTTGTATGGCGCGTGGAATTTATAAAGAGATGGTTCCCGGATGAATTTGTCTCTTTTTCAATACTCGTCTTCATCTTCTTCTCAGTTTCAATTTCATTACAAAATATACCTCGAAAATAATAGTCAAAGGATTCTTGTCTGCAGGTTACTTGGTGTTTGCAACTGTCATCGCCAGTATTTTATCTTGAATTTTGATGAACATTTGGTTCAAACTATTTCTTTATATATCTGCTTTCCCGTTGACAAAACGTCAAATCCATAGCTCCTCAACTTTCTCAATATCTGAAATAGTTTCTCCATACCAAATCACCATGGCTTCAGATACTCTCCCTGAACGTCCAGCTCCGATCGATCTCCCAAGCCTTCCAGCTCCTATTAAGGACTTCATCTCCCACCTATCTCAAAGCCCAACCAAAAATATCTCAACCATCATTGAGCCATACAAGGCCTATGAATCAGAACTTCGCAAAGTTTACGCCCAACAACCTGACCATGAAGCCGTCAAAGACGGAGCGGTCAATTTAGTTCCCATCTTCTCTGGCCATGAGAATGATCTCAAAGTTCGGGCCAGAGATCTTAAGAATGAGTCTAAAGAAGAGTCAGAAAAATACATCATGCCATTGAAGGATGAAGAACGTCGACCCAATGGCTCACCAGCTGTCGTTGGATCCATCAAGGATTTTCAGACGAATTTCAACCTTTTTTCCGAATCTTCATTGGCTGATCTTGACTGGAACAACGTCGTTGCAGCTGGTAGTGCCGTCACTACATCTCTTCTTCCAATCCCAGAGAAATGGGCAGGTAGTAAGAGAGCCATGAGAGAATACTATCACGAGCATTTGGCTCCGGCATCTGATGTTGATCTCTTTCTCTATGGACTCACCGAGGCTGAAGGGTTGGAGAAGATTAAGCAGATTGAGACTAACATCAGAGATGCTATCCTTCATGAGACAACCACGATTCGCACAAAGAACGCTATCACCATTGCAAGTCAACATCCCACTCGTCATGTTCAAATTGTCCTCAGACTTTATGATTCTATCTCTCAGATAATCACTGGATTTGATGTGGATTGTTCTTGTGCTGCGTATGATGGAAAGCAAGTTTACATGAGTCCCAGAGCCGTTGGATCATTCGTCACACAATGTAACACCATTGATTTGACCAGAAGATCGCCAAGTTACGAAAATCGCTTGAGCAAATACAGCCACAGAGGCTTTGAAGTCCATTGGCCAATGTTGGATCGCTCAAGAATCGATCCTACCATATTTGAGCGCTCTTTTGGTCGCACCGAAGGACTCGCTAGATTGTTGATTCTGGAGAAATTGCCAAAGACAGTTGTAAGTAGTCTTGGTGTGGCCGTGGCAATGATCATATGCTAATTTTAGATGCAGGATCGGGAAAATTACATGGATCAACGCCGAAAAGAACGTGGTAGACCATCTCTCAACAGAGGTTTCCGCAATCAACGTAGATTGTATGGAAATCTGAAAGATCAAGAAGAGGATGAGGTCGCAGATTGGGCTGAACAGGATGAGATTGCCAACTATCATACCATGACAGTTCCTTATGGGCAAAAGTACAATGCGGCAAAAATCAATCGTTTGCTGTATGCCAAGGATTTGCTTTTGAATGCGGAATGGAGCCAAGACAAAGATCGTGAAGTATATCTACATCGTCATCCATGCTTTTTCGGCACGGCAGAAGAAGTTATTCAAGATTGTTGCGGATACTGCCCAGTTCCTACCACAGACGAAGAAAAGGAGGTGGCTGAGAAGGAAAGCAAGAACAACGTCTCGGGCACTCTCAAGTTTATCACAGACGACCCCGGTCGCCAGGAGATTGGAAGTTTCAATCCTATAAATGATGATGAGTGGACCACTATGAGTTATGTCGGTGATACAGCACGTTTGTGTCAAGCTATCGTGGATGGAGATCTCGAACATGTTCAGGATTGGTGTTCTCAAGAGGGCGTCGATGTCAACCGCCGAGACTACACCGGTCGCACACCTTTACATTTAGCCACTATGACTTCCACTCCAGAGATTGTCAAATGTCTCGTCGATCAGGGAGCCAGATTGATTGCTAGACTTGTAGATGGCAGAACAGCATTACATATTGCCGCTGCAAGAGGCGATCTTGAGATGATTCGCATACTCCTGAATAAGAGTATGGCCAATGAAGAGGAGGAAGAAGCAAAGCAGTCTCGTGAAGTCAAATCCACTGCATCTGATAAAGAAGAGGAATCGGATTCTGCATCGGAGATTACCCTTGATAGTGAACAAGAGGAAGCTGATGCTCTGACGATGGGAAGCTTTGTCAAGATTCCAGGAAACAAGGATGAAGATAAAGATGATGTTGTAAGTCATATTCTTTTCCCCTTCATTATTCTTCCACTAATTGCTTTTTCCAGGCTGCAATTATGGACGACTCCATGGAAGATCCTGATATCTATGACGTGAACGTTATTGCTTGGGATTATGGCCTATCCCCACTTCACCTTGCAATTCTCAATGGCCATATCGATGCTATCAAACTTCTCGTCTCAGAATATGGTGCCGATGTTCTCTTCCCTGTCAAGCTAGTAGAAGCTGGAACTACTAATCCTAGAGGGGCAATCATGACTTTGGTTCTGGCAATGTCTCTCCCCAAAGAAAAGTCAAAACAAGTGGTGGAAGTACTATTGAATCTAGGGGCAACTTCTGCTCAGTCAGATACAAGCCATTTCACAGCCCTTCACTACATTGTCGCTCAAAACAATACCGAACTCTTGGAGGTTTTATTTGCTCATGATCGACCAGCCGCGCAAAGAGTCATCAATAAGATTGGAATTGCAAGAAACGGATCAGCTGAGACACCACTTTCTACTGCCATAAAGAAAAATCACGGAGAGATGGCATCCAAGCTTCTGCACTTGGGTGCACAGCCTCAGTTTGAATTCGAAGATTGGGTCAAAGTGTATACGGACACAAACACTCATGCTAAAAAGCAAAATACAGAAACAAACATGAAGCAATTTCAAGAAACAGCCCAACAACCTATTATTGCTGCTATCTGTAAGGAGATCAGCGCTGTTGTTGGGGATCTTCTTGCAAATGGTGCCAACCCCCAGACTCTCACAACTATTGCATGGTCAGCGGTAAATAATCCTCAATCACAAAATTACTATTACAACGCAGGAGAATCTATTTTAGATGTTATTCGGCGCAAATTGAAGACGCTTCGAGAATGGAAGGAACCTGTGTATGATCAATGGCAATTTCGACCAGACAATCCCGAATCGAGGAAGCCGGAAATTCTTCGACCTGAAACTTTTTACACGGCAGATCTGGAACCAGGTACCTATAAGTACTGGACAGCCTTACAAGACTACAGAGATGAGAAATTCCAGAATAAACTCAAACATGAAGATCACGAGAACTTGCTTAAAGATAAAGGCATTGAACTTGAAAAGTACAAGGGTGCGCGCGAAGCAGTCAAAGAAGCAATCAAAGATCTCGAGCAGGCTGAAAAACTCCTCATCGGAGCTGGGGCAAAATCCTTCAATGATTTGTATCCTGATACTCCTCAATTGCCGAAGCGCGAAGGTAGCTCTTGGCGCCACGATCTTCGGCATAAAGTAGCACCAGAACCTTACAAAACACATTTTACTTTCAGTGTCCCGGACCTCAATGAAGGGAAGAGAAAGGGCTATTTTATGTTGTTTGAAGCTACTTGGAATAATGATCTTGAGGCCGTCAAGAATTTGACACTCCACCCTTGGAAGCATGAAGACGTTGAATATCCGCCTCTTAAGATTGCGGTTCGTGATGGAAATGAGTTTATGCCTTTCTCTATCGCTGTTCTACGCGGACATTATGACCTTGCACGTAGGATTGTGGAAATATGCCTTGCTCAATATCATAACGCAGATGACGAGGATGATAAGAAAGGACGTCAACGTTGGGGTATTATGACTTCTGATGATGATGATGATGATTCAGGTGGTCTGCCTATCTTCTCTGAACTGGTTACTGACAAGTTCACGATTGATACCCTTGAGGAAGTTTCCAACGTTGTCAAAGGTGATACACTACCTTTGAGTATGATTGAATGGAAGTGTCCGGCGCGTCGATCAACTAGTGACGATGGAAGCTCCAGATCAAGCGGTATGCCCAGTCTGTTCGACTATGCTGTCGAGCAGGACGATATGAAAATGTTCAAATTCCTTCTGGACATTGCGAGCGAGCAGAAAGCTTTGATGGCTGAACATGAGGACGATCGGAGATGTTATAGTTTGGATACCTCAATTTTCAACAAAGCTCTTTCTCAAGGAAGAACCACAATGATAGCTGAAATGATCAAATACTGTGGGTCTGGTGTTCCATTTGGAAAGCTAGTCTCGGCTAGTGGTGTGGAGCTCAAGACAAAGCCAAGATATTATGAAGGTTTGTCAATTGGTGGCAAGAAACGAAAGGATTGGGCACAACCTCCTACTCACATCCAGGATTTTGATCATATTGAGGGACGATTCCCGCCTTTGCTCGAAGCTGCACAAATGGGCAACATTGAATCCGTTGAGTGGTTCATGAGTGATGCTCCAATGAGACATTACAAAGAATTTGCTGAGAGAAACAAGGATGATCTCCGAATTCGAACGTTGGAATCAGGGAAAGGATTTGAAAATACTATTTCAAAATGGTTAGAGATGAATAGTAAGTGATAAAACACCTTTGAAAGGTCATCAGTATACTAACAATATTCAACAGGCGAGCTTCTACTCCACGTCGCCATTCTTCATGGCCCGCAAACAGACGAAGACAAAATCAAACACCTCAATCTTATCAAACATCTTGTTTCCGTTCTTCCTGATTCGGTTCTCTCATTGAAATCTGCTCAGGGCTATTCACCTTTACATCTTGCTGTCAACAGAAAAAACATTCCAATTATTGAGTACCTTCTTTCAATTGGCGCCTCGCCCCGCTCTCGCGATAGACAGAATCGAAATATCATGCATACTCTTACAGCTAATGCTACAATCGTAAACAAAGAGACGATCCCTTGCTTAGAATCTATCATCAAGCTATTCAACAAAAAGGATATTCAAGAGATGTTGCTTGAGAGATCGGATGACTATCCGAGCGCAGTTACACCTCTAGCTTTATGGATGAGCAAAGCCACATACCATGATAGCGCTGATGTCATAGAAGTACTTCTCAAGTATTCTACTGGCGAGGAGCTAGAGATGATCAACGGAGAGGGTGATTTACCTTTACACGTTGTAAGTTACTCTTCCCCGTACAAATCAAAATTGCAATATTGACATCAATCTAGGCAATCAAAAACAACAGACCAAACCTAACATCCTTCATCCTCCGCCAAAAGCCTTCTCTTCTATATCGTGAATCCGCAACTGGTCGTACACCCCTCGAAATGTCTCAAGACAACTATATCTCTAATTTCATCTCTAACCCTCCCTCCGTCAACGATTATTGGCAATATCATCCGAATAATGTTGATAGGGATACGTTGAGTGCGTATCACGCGAAGCAGAAGCTCGACGCAGCCCCGTCTTATCAAACACATTCTATGATTTGGGAGGAATGTTTGAGGGTTCAGGGAGAGTTGAAGAGAAAGTTTGACAGTGATGAAGATGAGGATGGTAAGGATAAGACAAAAAGAGAGTTTACTGGAAAGAGAAGATTGGTCAGTTTATTTGAGGCGAATGAGGTGGCTAGGAGACTGGCGGGAAGTCGTAATGGAAAGGGAAATGTAGCTAGACAGACGGATGTGGTTGGTCAGTGGATGTAATTTGCTCGAAGACGAGATATGATGTTGTATATCTGGGAATGAAATGGGAATGGCAAGCTGCTATGGATGGCTAATTTGTGTGTCATATGATATGAAATTTCATGGTATATAGTATAGTATAGCTGAGCTGGCTGATTGGCTTGGCTTGGGGTTTATGACATTCAGGGCATGGCTAGTACTTTATAATGCAAAAATATTACAGGAGACTTACAAGCTCTCAAGGCTCAAGATCAGAGACTCATTTTTTCATTCAAATAATGGGTAATTTGTCACATTCCATAGTAGCTAGTAACATTTTTGAAAAAAAAATTGTTGGATCTACGGACTTGTGTACTTAGGTGTACACGCAAGATAAAGAGGCTCTTCTGGTCAAAAGACACGATTTGCTAAGCACAAAACTTTGACCGTCTCCCAATCCCTCTCATATTTCCGGAACTTTTAACAAGCATATATATGCATAGATGCCTTCAGAAATACGTATTCTCCATATATACAGTTTTAGCGCTTGGATATTCTCGAATGTTCTTGAGTTCTTTGACATTTGGTGTAGTCAGAGATATTATGCAGAGATTAAATTTGGGAATACTTGTTTACACACATTGATCCGGCATTAAGAGGAATGATGTGAGAATTCCCTTTTTCGAGGGGGTTTATGTACGCTTGGTACTGCGGGGGGAAAGAATAAAATGAAATGGAATGAGATCAAGGGGATCGGAAGATAGGTGCCTGCTTGGTGAAGCTTGTGATACTTGGCGGGGTCGGTGTTGTGTTGTGTTAGTTTTTATGCGGTTGGTGTTGGTATTGATGTTGGTTCTGACTCTGATTCTGTTTTTGGTTCGTGGTTCGAATACCTAGCGATGTTGGTTCGTGTAACTTTCATTACGTTATTGATACCCCCAGAGTATGTTCCTGCTCTTATCATTCCTTTCATTCAGAACTTCAAAAAATGTTGACTTTTATCCTCTAAGTCATTCATCGAGCCCAAATCTTGTCTTCTATCACAATGTCTACAGAACCCTACGATATCATCGTCATTGGCGGTGGTACTTCGGGTCTCGTTCTAGCAAATCGTCTTTCCGAGGATCCGAATCTACGTATAATCGTTCTGGAAAGTGGTGAAGACCGCAGCGCAGATCCAAATACTCTTACTCCGGGTGCTTGACCCTTGCTGTCGGGTTCTCCAGATAACTGGACATTTCAAACGGTTCCTCAAAAGGAAGTTCTTAGGGATATTATAGTTCCGTAGGGAAAGGCTTTAGGAGGTTCGAGCGCGATAAATAGCTTCCTCTTCACCTCTACATCCAAGGCGACAATAGAAGAATGGAAAATTTTTGGGGATTGAGGGATGGGACTATGCCGCGTATGAGAAGGCTTTGAAGAAATCGTATACCCTGCATAAGCCCTCCGGTGTGACTGAAGGCAATGGTCCACTCCAAATTACACTTGCTTCATCTGAGACTCTTTGGCAGAAAGCTTGGATTGAGGGTCTAGAGTCCGTGGGATTCCCAAGAACTGATCCCCTTTCTGGTCATCTTGGCGGTCCAAATATCGCTCCTGAGAGTATCGATCCTAGAACAAAACAGAGAAGTTATGCTGGTAATGCATATTTGGATCCAATTCGAGGTAGACCGAACTTGACTATTCAGACCAACACAACTATCACTAAAGTGCTGCTTGAAAAATCTTCATCGGCCAGTGATGCTATTGCTACGGGCGTGGAGTTCGCCTCTAAAGATGACTCTTCTCAAACTATCACAGCTCGCAAAGAAGTCATAATTTGTGCCGGTGCCATCAATTCACCTCGAATTCTTGAGCTATCTGGGATTGGCGACGCGGATTTACTTCAGCGTTTGGGAATCAATGTTGTAATTGACAATCCACACGTTGGCGAAAATCTCCAAAACCATCTTTTCACGGGACTTACATTTGAAGCGCGCGACGATGTTGAAACAGTCGATGCTATTTTCCGTCAACAACCTGATGCTGTGGCTGCTGCTATGCAGGAATATGCCACTAAAGGGACAGGCTATCTGAGTACCAGTAATATTACAACTATGGCTCAATTACCATTACCTGAATTCCACACCGAAGCCCGACGCAAAGAACTTGATCAATTATTAGCTGCCTCAAAATCCAATTCAGATGCTTGGCGCTCCTCACCAACCACACCCGCCTTCGCCACTGCACACGAGAGCTTCGTACGCTCCATTATCACAAATCCCTCAGAAGCACTAGGAAACTATGTTTTCGGCTCAGGCTACGCGCCCTTCGATGCACCCAGCCCCAGCTATCGCGCCCCAGGTAAACACATCTCCATCGCGATCGAGCTTTCTCATCCTCTTTCCCGGGGCAGCGTCCACATAACCAGTTCCCTATCTGAAAACACCGGCACCAACACAAGCGTCGCCATCAACTCCTGCTACCTCACTCACCCCCTTGACATCGAAATTCTCTCTCGCCAACTACGTTTCACAGAAGATATCATCAGTCGTGCGGAACCTCTCACGCGGCATTTAAAACCCTTTTCTAAACGTTTTGCAGATCTGGATATTGCGAAAGAATATGTAAGGCGGACGGTGGATGGTGCGTATCATTATACTGGGACGTGTGCGATGATGTCGAGGGAGATGGGGGGGCGTAGTGGATAGGAGATTGAGGGTTTATGGGTGTAGAAATTTGCGCGTGTGTGATGCGAGTGTGGTTCCGATAGAGCCGACGGCGAATCCGCAGGCGGTTATCTATGCAGTGGCAGAGATGGGGGCGGGGTTTTTGAAGGAGAATGGGGTGTAAATTACGGTGGGCTGGGGGGGGTATGATTTTGGGATTGGGGTAATGGGATTGTAGGTTGGGTGATATGATCTGTTCTTGGACTTTGTTGAAAGCTGGCTGGAGTGGGTGAAGATATAGCAAGATATAGTGCAGTCTTTACAGCAAATCATATGGATAATCACTGCTCCCTGTATTTAGTGGTACTGCTCGCCATTTTAATTTGAAAAGATGTCGAGCATGTGTCAGTACATACAACTCTACAAGGATTAATGGTGATCTCTTGAAACTCCAATATTAGCGCAAGCACTAGCCGAGGGTATGTAGAGAAGTCCTTCAATGATTGGAACAAGCTAGTTGGTGATACGATGTTGACTCCCAGTATGAGTAAGAGTATAACTTGTGATACACCACTTTACTGTATGCATGTATAACAACAAATTCTCAGATGCTTAACGAAGCTGTTCCAAAAATTCAAAAACCAAGGTTAGTGAAAACAGATGTTCGATAATTAGTTGAGAAACATCCTAAACTTCAAAAGAAACAGAAGAACTTATGACTACGACTTGCTCGGAATAAAGAACTGTATTTTGGGATTTTCATTATTTAAATCCCAACCTTGAGTTGCCGAATTTAGAATCTCTCATTATTAATCTGATAATCTATCTCATATTCCTTCCATCTCCAATGCTCTTCAGAACAAAGTCTATAAAAATTTACTTCCCTCCCCGCTTCCCCTTCATCCTCTCCTCAAGTCCAACCTCCGTCTCCAAAACTTTCCTTAACTTCACCTCCCTCTCCAAAAAGGACAAAAGAAATGCCAAAATTGGAAACACCATTCCAATCAAAAAAAACTTTCCCAGCGCCTTTTCAGAACCCCCAATAATCTGACTCCTCGTTATCTCAGAAAACGACTTAATAAACTCGCGCGTCGCACTCGAATTTACATTTCCATTTCACAGCGCTGATCTCGTCGCGGAATCAGTAATCATATCATCAGCGTACCGAGTACTGTATATATTAAGAACAACACCTGGAATTGCCACGCCCCATATATTCCTGAAACTGCGCTCAAATGACCAACTTGACGTGACAGCAGCAGAATCGGCTTCTGCAACGCCAGCTTGAACGGCTGGGAGAAGAGTATCAAGAACCATACCTGCACCTACTGATGGAAAGATTTGGAGACATATTTATTGTGCTGTGCTTGAAGATTTGGTCAGGATGGAGAAAGAACCGATTCCGGCTGCGAGAAGCGCAAAATCGATGATGTGGAGATGCTTATATTTTCCCCATTTGGAGAGAGCGAGCGCACCAATTGCGGCGCCGGGGATGGCGAGGAGGGTTATGGGGAGAATTTGCACGCCGGAGCGAGTGGGGGTGGAGAGAAGAACGGCTTGAAAATAGAGGGATAGGAAGAAGAAGATCCAGTAGTTGAGCATGGAGATTATGAAGGCGTTGGTGTATATTGTTATTGAAGTGCGATTTCTGAATAGAGGGCGGGGCCTGTGGATATGTGGAGCAAGTTAGTGTTGCGGGTTCGTAGAAAGGGGTTTGGATAGACGATGAAAATATAAGGTGCCTCTGTTTGATATTGTATGAAACAAAACATTTTTAATGATCATTGATAAATTTAAGAGGAGGGGAGAAATGAGTTGAACTTGGAAAGAAAGAGTAAAGGGGACATACATTACAGGCTCTCCTGTCCACCAGAAATTTCCACCCAAAAGAATCCCACAAGTCCAAAAAGCTCAGGTATAAGCGGGACAATAACCCTTAAAGATTGCCATGCATACAAAGACCCAGCCCAAGTCAATGCAATAAGTATTGATACCGTAGATGCCACTAGGAGGCCATTATCCAGTATATCAATCCGTTTAAATCATCCCACACATCCATTTCCCTATCCCATTTAACCCTCAGAAACCGCCACATAAGCGCGAAGGAAACCGCACAAATAGGAAGATTAATATAAAACACCTAATAAAACCCACAATCTAATTAGCAAAATCACATTATCTTCAACACAAAAGCCAATACCATAATAAATAACATACCCATCTCCAAGACCCCCTCTGCACAACCTTCCCCCCACAATCGGACCAATCACCATCCCAAACGCATACTTCACCGCCAACACTGCCTGATAGTTACTCCTCTAAGCGGCACCAAATCCGAACTCATAATCCCATAATCGCAGTCATACCTCCGCTTCCCGCGCTTTGTATTGCACGACCAGCGATCAACATTGCGGATGCATTTGCACCTCCGCAGATACCGCTTCCGAGTGTATACAACGTGACGAAGAGGAGCGCGATGTGTCTTCTACCGAAAAGATCGGCTAGTTGACCGGTTAGAGGTTGGGTGACTGCGCTATGGGTTTTTTTGTTTAGTGGAGGATTGAGATAAATGCATATTTTGAGTTGGGAAAAGATACTGAAAGTGTGAAGGAGGAAATATCTTACGCAGTAAGATAAGATATATTGGTAACCCATATATAACTACTTCCCAGTTCCAAATGCTTAACAATCGTCGGGAGCGAAGTCACAACGACGGTATTTTCAAGCGAACAGAGGATTTGCATTGTGCAGAGAGTAATAATGATACACCAGAATCTGTAGTCACGATTGAAGACATATTCGTTTTGTGGTTCAGGTTCGATTTGGGACGGCTGTGTGTTTGTTTCTGTGGAAGATTATTGTTGTATTATGGAAGAAGAGATTGGAGTCTTGGTTTCGGAAGTTTTTGGGTGAGGGAGAGATGATGTGATGAGATAGAGGAGAATAGATATGTGTAACGTTTTTGTGTAAGAGACTAGCCATACCTCAATAACCCCAGCTGAAGTAAATAGATATCCCAAAAGACCCAGCTAAAATACATTCTTATTTTTGACATTCCAAGGGGCTCCATACGATACCAGAAACATTTCATTCCCGATGACTTTTCAATTCCAACAAACATTTGGTGCTACGTAATCCTCGCTTAGCACCACCACCAACATATGATACCTAATTACCTTAGTATCTACCCACTACATATAACATACATATACCAACAAGAAAACAACAAAATAAAAAGGAATACTGTATGACGATACCATCAAAGTACTGTTAAGATTTACAACTCTAGATCACCATATCAACAAATCAACAAATCAAACAACTAACCAAATCGACCCACATCTTCCGGTTCCAAGTCCCAAGTATTAGATAAGTACCTATCCAAAACAACTACACATGCAATTAATTACCTAACCAACCTGAAGCGAGATTCTACTTTCCATATATACATATATCCATAAATATCAAGTTCCAAGCTACAATTATCATCGCCATATTAGACATCCAATTTACATTATCACACACTCTCCTCTACATCATTCCATTCGATTGACCTCCCGCCTCCTCCGATAATCCTCTTCTTCTTTTCCAAATTTCCTTGCAAAGCATCTCAATATAGACAAGTAGATAGGTAGACATCTAAAAATCTCTACATCAACATTTTACGTAGGTATTCACTCAACGCTTCCATCCAACCCTTCCATCCAAACGAGAACCAGTACAACACAACACAATACAACACAACACAATACAACACAACACAATACAACACAACACAATACAACACAACACAATACAACAGACCCCAATCATACAATCATACAATCATACAATCATACAATCATACAATCATACAATCATACAATCATACAATCATACAATCATACAATCAAAATCAAATCACCAAACAACCAACCCAAATATTCATTAAAAACCCATCCACCCATCCAATCGACTAATACATACATACCCTACCACTATCACACCAACCCAATTTTCCAAACTCTCCACTATTCAATCCAATCCAGTCCAATCCAATATACAACTTACTCGTATCTCCTCTCCTCTCCTCTCCTCTCCTCTCCACCTCCCCATTACAAAAACAACAAAAACAACAAAAGACACGCCAATACCCAATCCAATAAATCAATAATGATCAAACCCATCTTCTTCATCGTTCTCATCTCTTTTATCCCAAAACATAAAATCAAGCAAAAATCACGTGTGTACATATGTATATGTATAAGTGCATGATCAAACTATCAATTCTCCTTCTATTCTCCTCGTATGAATTCTCTTCCTATGACTCTACTCTTTTGATCCTCTAATCTTCCAAGCAAGCGAGTAACACAAAACACACCACTACAAAATACTAATCACAGACTACTAATCACAGACTACTAATCACAGACTACTAATCACAGAACACCAACCACCAATCATCAATCATCAATACCTCTACCCTCAAGACATAAGACATAAAAAATCCTTCTAATTTTCAATTTCCAGTTTCCAACTTTATTTATATCCAGTGAAACAGCAAACCAGTCATTCAGTAACCTAAAAGTCACACTCTCACACTCTCCCCCTTTCCCTCCCCCCCAACACCCCCAACACCCCCACCCCACTCCAACAAATCTCCTAACAAAAAAACATACCCCCTTCCCAAATCCCAACCCATCATTATCATTATCCAGCTCAGGACTTAAAGGAACCTATCATACCCCCTTCCACCCCCCCTAACCCTCAAACCCCCTCTTAACCCTAACCAACCTTTCCAATCCCTCCCAACTCAACCTTCCCTTACAATTTGTCCTCAAAACCACATCCTGTCCATTCTCCATCTGAATCACAATGGCAACACCCTTAACTCCACTCATCCCTTCTACTCCCTCCTCTCCCAAACCTTCATTTGTATTTCTATTTCTCAATCCACAGTTTTCACTCCTCCTATCAACCCCCATAACTCTCCTCTTCCAAACACAATCGTGCTTCTTACCATCACCATCACCATCACTATCACCATCACCACCTTCCCTCTCCCCCTCCAACTCCTCATCCCCTCCTCCTCCTCCACAATCGACCCCATAGCCCCTTCAAACCATTCCCCCTCCCCCTCTCACTCCCACTCGACAACCACCTCATCTGCGCATCAAAATACCCCCCCGCACTAACCGGTGTTACCATTTCACTCGCCCCAGCACCACCACCACCAGCACCACCACTATCCCTCTCCATCCCCACCCTCCTCATCACCCCTCTTCTACTTTCCGACCTCCGATCCTCCCACCTCTGAACCTCACTTCTTACCTCTTCCTCCACCCATTCCAACCCCTCCTTCCTCCTCCTCCACGAAACCGATTCTCCACTCTCGCGTCTCCGATCCGCCCAATCCGATTGTCCACAAACCTCCGAGGTCTCGCAATCCGTTGAACGTCTAGCGACTTGCTGCCGTGGAGATTTCGATACTTGTTTCCAACAAAGATGGGTTTTAGGGAAATCAACCGCTTCTTTATCTCGCCAGGGATTGGATGAAAAGTAGCCCGGAGGAGAGTTGGTGGGAAAACGAGTATTTGATTTTGAGGGTGCTGCAGATTGGTCTCTAGTGCCATCACTTGAAGATGGTCTGTTTGGATTTACAGTTACTTTCGAGCAAGCATTTTGTGAAGCTTTGTTGAAAGTTTCCTTCATGATAGGTGCTATACCTTTCGGGATAATCGACGATGAAGTCCAAGGTGAAGGAGTGCGAGCCATCGATAACGAATTGCTATCTTGTTTAATAGGAATAGATAAACTATTCTTCGGAACATGAAGAGTCTTCGACGGCGTATTAGTCGGGGTATCAAATCTTCGAGGTGGCGAAGGCTCATCCGGACTTCCCAACCATTCCGAGACACTATCATATTTGAGAACCGTAAAACGGTCATAAGTCTGAGAGCGCGACAATATATAAGGTTTTTTGTCCTGCGTTGAGCTAAGATGTCTTGTATTCGAATTGAACGCATCATTCAACGAAACCTTTGCTGGACTACGATGAAGATGTATCATAGGTTTATGAACTTCATTTGTACAACATCGAACACTATGAACTGTGCTCTGGCACGCAGAACACTCACAATCATCAAGACAATGTTGGCAATCCCCTAAGATACCTGAACTAACAGGACTGCGATCGCAATGCCCATGACCCGTTCTAGGATACCCCCGACATTCTACATAATCCGATCCATATCTCGACGAGTGTTTTCCATGTTTCGGAACATTGAGAAATGGATAATAGTTGTCCAGGAGTTTTGAGCTTTCCCCATGATCTGACATAAAGCTGGGTTGAACTGGTTGATAGGTCGACCCATTGAACATACGACATGCGCTTTCTGACCCCTGTGTATTTTCTGTACGGCTTCTGCGGTTCACCCTATGGGTAGGTTGTGTAGTCTGACGGATTGTATTATTCGAAAATGGATCTGGCCTCATTGACGTCCGTGGGATTTCCCCACGGTCTGATTCATGGCTGAGTTGTATTGCTCGGTGTATAGATCCATTCAATAATCGATACAATCTCATAAAGGGCTGTGAAGTTTGAGAGGAGTCAGGATAAGAATGAGAGCGATAGATGTTTTCATCGTCGATACTATCAGTTGCATACCGACCATCCATAGCTATAATATCCTCACTTCGGGCAAGTGATTGAGAAGTAGAATGTCGAGAGACAAAACTCCTATGCTTAGCTTTTTGACAGCTTTCACATCTGCAGTCGTGCATTTCCAACGATCCTGACTCAGATCCATGTTCGCTAGCGACAGACTGACATGAAGAATTTGGTGTAGGAAGCATGGAGCTTTCTTGAAAAGATTCCTCGAATTTGGTTGAGAGCTTTTGAGGGCACTCGGATTTGTAAATACCAGGACATGATTGTAATGGTCCATAATTTGTTGAATCTGATCCAGGTCCAGGTTTTGACTTTTGTGGCAGAGCGTTCTTGGAATAGAATGGCGGAAAAGGCTCTGTCGAAGCGACTTCCTTCTTCTTCGTGACCATTTGTATTGGAATCGGCAGAGGTCCCGACAGTGATTGCTTTAAAAATTTGCCTTTTGATGGCCGAGGTGTTATTGCATAATGTACTGGCCCCGATGCTTCTTTCCGATCAACAGGAAGCACTCGATTGTAATTAAAACTTGCATCTTTGCCTCCATTTGAAAATGTTAGAAGTCTATCACAAGCTTTGCATAATCGATGATCACATTTCCAACACGCAATTTCATTCTTATCATGAATCCACATGCAAATATGACAGACGCGATGTCTCTGAGGTTTATTGGTTTCTTCCCTCCCCACTTCGGATGATGCAAGTCCAGGTGGCCTTTCAATTCCATGTGTATCAAACAAATCACGAACACTCTGTCGCCGAAGCGTAGACGTTGTGCGTATAGATACCTCAGAATTGGACATCTCATCTTGTCGTATTTTCTCCTTTTGACGACGAGAATTCAATGTTCGGTTCTGTTCATGTGATAATTGAGTCGTAAATGGTGCTTGTGTCGAGCTATAGTTGTCCCCAAAAGTCTGAACGCCCCTATTCAAATCTACTTTAGGGCCAGCAGTCCTCTGCCCTTGATCCTTCCTCAACGTCCTCAAATTATCAACAATAGGAGTCCATCCACTACCCATCGCGTCTTCCCGACCCAAGCCCCTCATACCACCCAATGAAGGTCCAACATCCCCATCCACCCTCAACACACCCACATTCCCCGCTCTAGCATGTCCCTCATCATGATTCGATCTCGGCGTTCTCAACCCCAAAAAAGAATGATTCGTCCCCGATTGCAACTGTTCATTCGGTTGCGAATTTCTCGACGCCGGATTCCCAAAAATATTCGTAGGTCGACGACCAAAGCTCGAACGAGAATTTTCTCGTCTCCTATTCAACGGTGGTCGAATGAGAGGCGGGGATCGTGATCGATGAGGTGATTTGCTGCTGCGCTCTCGTCTACTTTTCGACGTCGCTCGGATTTGTGGGAAGCGTGAAGGAGGTTTCGGTGGTGATTTATTTTTTTGGTTGCCCGCAAGCTTCTGGAGTAATAGGATACGTGAAGCAACAGTTCCCACTGTGATGGGAAGATTGCGAGAGGGTCGATCGCTAGGTAATGATGATTTTGAAGCCGCAGAATCGGCATGTGTATTTCGAGCTGCAGCTGGTCGCCAGGGATAGTTCATGGCAATTGAAGGTTTATAGGATACATTGAATTCGGGACTAAAGCTGCAATGTAAAGATGGTTGTAACGAATGAATACACAGGCAATGCGCCTGATGAATGGTGTGAAGCAATAAAGAGGATAACCCTAATAGGAAAATGAAGATGGAAGTGCAAATGAACGAGATAGAGATCGTGTACTTAAAATTGAAACTAGCAAGTCTCGTTGGGAGAAACACGGCGGCCGAGAAGGCAAGAACAATCAACGTCATTAGCCATTGTCAGCGTACATGGCTATTCATCAAAATTTACATGGCCGTTTTCCCGTAATCATTGAACCCATCAAGATATAGCAAAAATACAATTCAAAACTTAGTTGATGAGGGTATAAAATTGACCAGGCTTATCAATTGAACAAGCTATGGTATTCGTTTTCACACAACGCAATAAAAAATAGTTCACTGATGTACATTGTGCAGGTCTCTATCATCTAACCATCACCAAGGTAGAGTAATTTCTCTACTTGAGGTGTGCTTGCAAGGTCTCCAAAACCTATATATGTCATTAGTCCTGATCTCATATCCACGTCCAAGATCTGAATATCAAAAACTCACCTCCAACTCAATCTTAGCCTCAGCGATATCTTGCTCACTTCCACTTCCTCCAACAATCTTCTGAGCCTCAGCAATTTGTGACCTAACTGCATCTGCGCTGAAATCCTCCAATGGGAATCCCTCAACTGCGTTGATGCTTAATGAAGAGTTTGGTTGAACGACTGCGAATCCTCCGGAAACTGTTTCAATGCCCCATTAGCCTCTCGTGTTCTCTCCCAACTTGTAAATATCTCCAGGATGCTTGTCGTATGACGTACGGAAGAATTGCTTGCTTCCACCACTCTCCTCGATAACCTCAACGAGACCTGGCTTCAATTGTTCGATCGATGGGACGTGGTTGGCGAGGATACCCATTTCACCAGATTCGGCGGGGATGTTGACTTGGACGACATCTTGGGATCTGTAGACAGACTGCAGATTTATGTTAGCCAATCTCTTCCTATATGCCCATCTGCCAATCCATCTATCCGCAGAAACCCCTCCCCCCCTCCGCATCTCCCCTCATCCCATCTCGTATCATCCCATCCAGCACCCCATCATCCATCCATCCCCTCCCTCCCTCCAACCACAAACAAACAAAAATCCTTACATACCTGATGAGGCAAAGCCAAGCTCAACTTAATCTACACACACACACGCAAAGTCAGCACAAAACTCCATCACCCATCCCCATCTCCCTCCCCAAAGCCCCGAACAAAAAAAAAACCAGAAACGGGAATTCCCGACCTTCTCCGCAACAGCCTCAGCATACCCTCTGCGCAAGACAGGAGTTTTCAAAGCCGTAGGACGAACCCGCAGAGCGGCGCGAGCAAAACGCATGGAGTTCATGATGGGTCGAGTGTATCAATTGAAGACGTGACGTGGGTTTCTACGAGGGGTTGATGCGGCGGGAGCTTGCTGGTTGATGTCGGGATGCCTTTCGCTAACTTATTTTCTTTAGCTTGATTGAGGGTCACGTGCTGGGAACTTTTGTAAGTGAGAAATTGGGGGTTTGGATACGATGAATGATAAGGAGTACTTTTCTATTGATTCTTGAGGGCTTCTGATCATTGAAATGAGAGAGAATTATTTTCGAGCTCTAATCTTTTCTCACGTGCTCTAGATCACGAGATTTATCATCATCCCATCTCCATCTCACGTGCAGAACTATACTCATCCGCTTACTAACCAAGCATCCATCCTCCTCAACAACCCGAAACGATCCATCCATTCATTCTCGCTACCTACCCTCAAAGTAGGTATTCCCAGTTTCAACTCCCCGATACCAAACCCCCAAGCCAAGTGACCCGGGGGATCCATCAAGCACGGAACGCAATCTGCAGACACGACCCCCATCCACCACAAGCCACCAACATTTTGCTCCCCAAGTGCGGAAGTACGGAACCAGACTCAAGCCACTTCACCACCTATGCAGCACTCCCTCCCCCGTGCCAAATGTCCATTGTACACTGTACACATGCGAAAACCCATCCATCCCTGAAAATTCCACTGGTCAAAATTAATCCCTCATATTCGAGGCTAGTCTCAATGCAAATGCAAACTCATGAACCTTGAACACCCCCCCCCCCCCCCCCATCAAAATATCATAAATATCAAATCAAATATATCCTCAATTTTTTTTAAATGGGGGAGTTCCCCGTCAATGACCCGATCGGATGAAGCACCCCGGAGTAGGGAATGGAACGTGTAGATCTTTGTGGATTTGGTTACTGAGAGTACTTACAGAGAGAGCATTACATATTACTGTGTTGCTTTTTGTCCCGTGTTAGAATTTGTTAACGAGATCTGGTTTTGTACTGAGTAGAATTGAGTCAAAATGATGAAATCAATAACTCCCTATGAAATTTGATAGACGGGATCATTGACGATTTTCCAAAAAATCTACACATATCGAGATAAGCAAAACAAGCCAAGCTTCTCAGCGGGTGTGGCACTACATAAGATTTTTATGCCAATGCACTGCCAATGTCCACCGTTGAATCACCAAGGCATTTACAATCTTGATATTCGTCCCTTGAATCGGTTTCACCAAGCCCTCAAGAGTCAGAAACTCATTTATTCGAAAGAAACAGTTTCTTCATAGGTTGTTCATTTACCGACTACTTGAGAGACATAAACGGATCATTACGGGATATTAAATTACGAACATGAAGATCGTATCGCCATAGATGTTGTAATTCTGTTGGAAGAAGGCATTGCACGGTTTGTCAGATGAGCATTGCACACCCTTTCACTGCGTTTTGAAAGGTATCTTGATGGATTTTGATTCAGATGCAATCGTGATTTGACCTATTTTTGGCCTTATGTTTGCAGGATTCGTAGGGCGGTGAATTCGGGTTGTTGGGAATGAGATGAGATCTAACCCCTAAAAACGCAAAGACAGTCAAGCGAAAGGACGTGAAGGGGCAGACAGCGGTGTACTCCGGATGTTCTCTGTATGTATGTAGGTATGTGTAATTTTGGGTCAGATGTCGATGCTGATGATGAACCGGTGGATGTTTGGGCACAGTTGGTAGAAACACAAGTAAGAAGTATGATGAACTGTCAGATGATCTTAGAAGGTGTACAGTAAGAGCGTACTTACTCAGCTTCCTTCTTTTGCTTCAGTTTCCATATATCAAATTTTCATCACTTGATCGCCACTCAAGAGGTGAGCCAGCACACTGCACAAACGCCCAAAGATGTTTGATCAATCTTGGGCCAACACCCAATGCCGATTCTTCCAGCGGTGAGAAGAGAATAGATGAAGTAATATCATCGTGTATGTAGGAGAGGTTGCACAGATAGCTTTTGGCACCCTATCCAGGCTATCCTCCTATCCTATGCTTCCTATGCTTAAACTTCCCGGAAGCGAACAGTGAACACGGATCCAAAATCTGTTTGCTTGTCAATGCAGGATAGGCTATCGTTCGAGTATCACATCTTCCTTCTTTTTCATCCAATTGATCTTTGGCATTCGGAATGGAAGATATAGAAATCCGACACGTTTCTGTCCTTTAAAGCCTTCGCTCTTTCAGGAGGGGTAAACCCTTTCGTCGAATGTGGGGTAATTTATGGAAATCCAGCGGTCAAATCCTAGCTGCAATTTACATGACAGGATTATCATTGGTTCATTCTCCTCATCCGATTGAGGTATTACTCCGGCACACGATTGATACGTTGATTAATTACCAGGTATGCCATTGGTAGACGGAAACGAAAATGTCGTCAGTCAGTGAGAGGACCGTTCCAATCCCTTTGATCACAAGAAACCGGACGGTAAGGTGGGATTTTGCCAGGTGAAGGTATCACGAGCCCATCTATCTGATCGGATCCAGGATTCCATGAATGACAAAATATGACTGTGTGTGACATGACTTGCCTTGCGCGATGCAAGATACACTTTTTTCCCGCACGTTTCTGGTAGACCCTTCGTACCTCGATGCGAAATGACGAGCACTTTGAAACGATTTCCAAGTAAAAGTTCAGGCAAGTTTGGTAAACCATCGAGTGCTAGTGTATCATCACTGATCAGATGAAGAATGCGAATCCACAACCCCACGTTCGCAAAAGAAGTCGAGGAGAGCATGTTGCCAGATGGAGGAGGAGGTTGGTAGGCGTGCGAGGCGTGGTAGGTAGCGTTTCACACGAAAGCAAAGAGCATGGTCCCCGTAAGTACATATGAATGGATACCTGCACTGCAGCGAGAGGTCAGCTTGGAGAGTGATTAGACGGAGTCCTGCAGGTAAGGTGTGACCTTTGCATGCGCGCCAAGGGGTGCACGAATCCATGCTGTTGGCTTTTAGTACTATTATTTCGATTTTTGCCGCGGTTGGCTTGTGTAATTTGATGATATGATAAGTTTATATGATATCTCACGATAGATCATCTGCATTTGGTAAGCTGTGATTTAATATTAGAGCTATGGCGGGAAGAATCAATTGTATGACTATGATTTGGGGATAGACTCCAACAAGATTGTGAATTGAAATCAAGCGTAGATGGAGAGATGCATGCGGACAGAAGGACACGATAGGAATCACAGGATGGATGCAAATGAGTGATGGATTGATGAGTAAGCTGCAATTTCAAGTCATGGGGATAGGAATGGAATAGGAATGGAATGGAAATGGAATGGGAATGGAAACGAGGAATAAGTGTGAATGTGAATGTGACACCAAGATCCTTTATGTCATGTTATGTCATGTTATGTTATAATCTGGAAGTAAATAAAGAAATCATTCATCGGATAGAGCGATTCGGGCTCACAGGGGAAAAGGGAAAAATGGAAGATGGGTCCAATAATAAAAGTGGTAGACTGACTGGTAGTCCTGTAACAAAATCAACGGAATCGTCAAATTATCGTGAAATTCTTCCAGGGAGGGATCGGATTGGTTTGGTTTAACGAAAATGGTTTCAATCTCTCCGAATTCAGGCCGTCCCTAATGAAATCCCCCCCCCAAGAGCGCGGGTGGGAAATTTCATGTTCATTCTCATTTCCATTTTATTGCTTGCTGGACATTTTCATTTGTTTATTTGTTTATCGCTCTATTCTCTTATCCTGTTCTTGGATTTAGTTACATGATGTAGGTACATCTTTTCTCCATCCTGTCGGACGGTTGGATCAACGGGCGTGCAGTGAGATGGGCTTTTGCTTGGCTGATACCTCACTATAACAAGTTATTGAAAACCTTAGGTCGTCAAGTAAACTTTAGGTGTTAGAATACGATGAGTTTTGATGATTTTGGTCGGGAATGTTTGAGATCCTTTACCCATTTGCTCGTCAAGCTGTTGGCATTTTTACTGCCTTGAGCTGGAACGTGTATATCCTTCAATTAGAGGCATGGCATTCACCATCAAGCTATTCAGCCCGAGGCATGTAAGCAAGCTGGAAGGACTACGGTAGTAATAGTAATTTGTACCTAGTAAGTACATACTATACTACGGAGTCAATGCTCGAATTTCATGGGCTGACTGGATGGAATATATCATGAACGGATCCACTTCTCGATTTGAACAACAGCTGCTGAACTGCACCACCAAAATCGACGATGGGAAGTTACATAGCTGTTGTTAAAGATAGAAAGAGGAAGGATAAAGAACGCGGGATCTTTCTTGGGAAGGGGAGGGGGAGGGAGAAGGAGGGGGGAATATGATAGATATGCAGCTGTTATTGGTATTTATGATGTGATATGATAGCAAGTACCTGGGTAGGTCCAGAGTCCAGAGTCCAGAGTACATAGGATAGATCCAACACAATGCGTGGCATGGTATGAGTGAGTGAGTGTGCTGTGTTGTGCTGTACTGTACTGTATTGTATACGATCTGTGTATGTATGTATCTATCTACATGTGTATATTTGCATATACGGGGTATGTACTGTATGTGTCTATATATTCATCAAGACACGTTCTCCGATGTGGAACGTATCAAAATACCTCACCTAGGGAGGTATCAATCCGTGAATCCATCACAGATCTTCGATGGAAGAAGAATGGAAGGACAAGAGAATAGCGCGATCCCAATAAAGTTCAAGTCCAATGGTCAAAGTGATAGTTTATCGATCTGAACCATGGAAGTTCCAGACGCATCCGATTTCATCTCATACAGTCGCACGCTGAACTCTGTATGCCTTGAGACACTTTGACCCCTTCGACAACGACAGACATCTCTTTTTTAGATGGTGGATGAAGACTGGTGCTGGTGCTGGTGCTGGTATAGGGAGGACGTACGTGATGATGATATAATTTGAATGGGCTATACTCTGTACGATGGATGGACAAGCTTTTCCATAGTCGATACCCACCATCTCAAGTCCATCCCTTCTACGAACTACCGAAGCAGGGCAAGTAAAGTTAGTTGGAGAGCAAGATCCAGGGCAAGATCAAGGGCAAAGGAGAAAAGAGTCAATTTAACGCGAGCGAGTTAGAGCCATCTTCAATCCAGAGCAAGAACCCCCACTCAACAACTTGTTAGCACAAAGTACACACGATTGAAGTTACAAGCCGTAAAGCCTCAATGTAGGTATGGATGTATGGATGGATGTATGTATGTACGTGTGATAATAATAATAGGCCTTAGCAATCTATTACTCTTACTACCAAAACCAAAAGATCAACCCACTCATTCTCAACTCATTTTCTTTGAACGAGAAAGAAAAAAAGAAGAAAAAAGGAAAAAAGGAAAAAAGGCAAACCGCTTTTCAATGCGCTAATCCATTCCAGATCACATTGTACACAATGTTACACTTTATCTATTCGGCACTTTATATTATAATACCTGTCTAGTATTCCCTTGGTATTCTCTTGTTATTCATTACCCTTTAACTCTTGTCCTCTTTTGCTCTTTTGCCCTTTTGCCCTTTTGCCCTTTTACTCTCTTTACTCTTATTATTACTCTTACTCTTACTCTTACTCTTACTCTTACTCTTACTCTTCTTATCCACACCTCGCTCTCTCTCTCTCCCTCTTGCTCTTGATTGACTAGGTACTCCGTATACATACCTCAAAGTTTACTTTGTTTCTATATTATCACTCATAATCCACTAATACACCCCACTCATCCACCATCCACCATCCACCCATCCATCCACTACTTCGTGCGTACTATACTATCTTTTTTCATCCATTTGCATATTTCCACATTCGCATATTCGCATCTTCGCATAATCACCAACCAACAATATCTCGCTCCTTCCTCTCTTATTAAGTAAGACACGCCCAGGAGCAGAAGAGCCTCTGATGATATCAAGTCTCATGTTCTTGAGTCTTCACTTGATTCTTAATTCTTGATTGTCAATAAATACTTCTTCTTTGAAATCGACGCAGTGGCAAAACAACACCAAAACCGAGACAAAAATAAGGCTGTGTTTGTTTTCTCATCCACGGAAAGGAACGGTGCTCAGTCTGATTATTTGATTATTTTATTACACGGCCTAAAATAAAATAAAATAAAATAAGATAAAACGGAATAAAATAAAAAAACATTTATTCGATTTGTGTGAAAGACCAACCCTGAAAAAGTTGATCTTTCAGCCCTTATTTGAACGTCATTTTATAATACCACAGCCTTCCCCCCAATAAATCTCCAACAATTTCAAAACATCAATCGACCTTTACCTCCTTCACCTCCTTCACCTCTTCACCTCTTTCGATACTTTGATACTTGACACTTGAGACTTGATACTTGTATCTCGTATCTTCGTTGTCGACCAAAGAAGAGACCTTTTTACGCACCATCCATCAGAAGATTTCAGGTGGGAACCAACTTCATCCCCCATACTACCACCACCACCTCTTCTCTCCTACCGACAGCAACAAAAATCAATCCTTCCTTCCGTCGAGGAAGAGAAGACACTACTTTGGTTGCCTTTCCTTTTATTGCTTTCGTCGCAGTAACCTGGAATAACAACTGGATTTGAATACAATGTTTCTTTCACAATTATAGCAATACGGTCCCTCAGGGACGCTTTAATTCAACGGTCCTCCTTGACCTTTGTCTTTTGATCGAGAACGATATTTGAAGGACGACTTACTTCTCTTCGTCTCGAGATTTATATCTGTTCCTTGACCTTTTTGATTCATTACCAATTCCCAATACACCGAGGCTTCCAAAGAGTACTCGATTGTTTCACTTCATTCCAATTTCACCATCTTCAACCACAAATCGCGACCTTTTTTCCTTCAATTCGAGGTCTTGCAACCACCTCGGAAACTACCTTCCGATTTACATATAACGAACCTTTCCCGAGCGACCATATTCCAACACTCGATCCTACTTATATTACCTACTTAATTATACATTCACATTAAACCCCAATCACGATCCAAATTTTTTACCATGGAGGGGCAAGATATTTTGACTTGGCGTCCACAAGCGACGTCCACTTCAAATATGTCGACAACTGGCGACGAAGAAATAATACCTGCAGATGTCGATGAACCGCCTGAACTACAGGCAAAGGAATTCACCAAAGCTCCCATTCGTCCTCAAACTGATCGCGCGGAATCCCTGATCACAAGAGGTTTACATATCATAGAACCCGAGATACCAAAACCCGATATACATATTACCACCGACCTAATGCGCCGACGATCCTTGATGAGTACAGCAAGTCTCGCATCTACCGCCGAGCTTACCAGCGATGGAGGCTTTACAAGTCCCGCTCGCACAAATACACCTAGCCCACCATTCCCAAATACATCATATTATTCGATGGGCCGGAAATCGGCATATCCTCCACCTGCTCCAGTCGTATCTCATGAGGTGGCCGATCCAATCATCGCGGTCCACGCGGAAATACTCCACGCTTCACCGAAAGTAACACCAGTGGTACCCCTCGAGGCCGCTCCAAAGAAACGTTGTATTAGTTTCGCTTGCGGTGCGCAAAAGGACCCCGCTCCCAAGCCAACGGCGATTGCCGTCACGAAGCCTCTCGAACCCGCAGCTCCTATCGTCGAAGCTTTGAAACGCAAATGTACCATCAAATTTGCTTGTCCTTCCAAGCCCACAGAAAAACACGCGGAAAAGCCTGTTGAAAAGGTTGAAGTCACCGAAAAACCTTCTTATTCGAAATTCGCTCTGTCAGATACCCCACCCGCACGAAGACGCGTCTCGAGTCGATCGCCATCTACTTCTAGAAAACCTCGACCTACCCCTGCATCTTCTCTTCGTCCTCATCGCGAA